TACCAACCTCAGAAGGATGGAAGGCTAAGTCAACCTTGAGCCTGGTGAGATTTGAACTTCCAAATTGCAGGCAGCTGGCAGGCAGCAGAAGTAGCCTGCAGTACTGCTTCTAACCACTGCGCCATCGGGGCTCTTGATATCTCTGATCACTACCTTCTCGTTACTTTTAGCCAGAGATTTCTGTAAAGAAGCAGCTGCAGCAACAACAGTATTGACTAAAAAAAAGGTACACTGGTGCTTGAGGCCAATTGGAGTTTGCCATCATTTTCAGGTCATAGGAGGCAATGCCTCCCAATGCCTCACATTAAGGCTAGGAAAGTTGGAAAGTGCTTGGTTCCTCTTGTCTATGCTGTCATAACATTAATCCATTTCAAAAGGAATGTAAGATTAATTCATGGTTGCATGAATTAAACCACTACACAATATTGACATAGATATCTGATGTTTGTTTTTAATATTGTAAATTTTTCAACCAACCTATCGAAAATGGCCCGTACTTAATCATCCTTGGAATGATTGTCCACCCAAACATTTGGACAAAGACTATACGAGCTTTCTGTGTTTGACTACTTAAAACTGTGAATGCATTGACACAATTTGGAAGAGGTTGTTCTGATTCTTTATTGGTTAAGGTTACCTCTCTGATACCTTGCCGTAGTTACCTGGTAAATTTAACACATGAATCACTGGAGTTAACAGGTACAAGATACCTGTCACTTCCACCATCTGGATGATCTTAGCAAACTATAGGTAGTTCTCAAATTATGACCACAATTGAGCCCAAAATTTATGTTGCAAAGTGAGACATTTGTTTGTCATATTTTTTGACTAGTTCTTGCCATAGTTATTAGGTGAAGCACTGCAGCTGTTAAGTTAGTAACACGGTTAAGTGACTCTGGCTTCCCCATTGACTTTGCTTGTCAGAAGTTTGTAAAAATTTATCATGTGACCCCGGGACACTGCAACCATCATAAATATGAACCAATTGCCAAGCATCCAAATTTTGATCACATGACCGTGGGGATGCTGCCAATCATAAGTGTGAAAAATGGTCATAAGTCACTTTTCTCAGTACCGTTGTAACTTTGAATGAACACTAAATGAACTGTTGTAAGTCGAGGACTACCCTGTTTTTCAAGTTGTTGTCCCACAAGATGTCCCCTCCCCCATTAATTTCCTTTTGAATCTTAGCATGTGGATTCTATTTAATTGGATATAAAATTTAGATTATTCCCATGTAGCTCTTCTTTTTTATCTTACACTGTTGTACGAAGAATCCTAAATTTGTAAAACTGCTTGATATATTTTTTGTGATGCATACCAAATCTTTGTTTCTACTAGAAGTGTGTTAAGATTTTTTTCCTGCCAGCATAAATAAAAATCCTTCCAGATTGCTCATTATCATGACCCATCTACTCATGACTCCGGTCAAGATGCTTTGCCCAGTTATTGCTAACAGCTTAAACAAACATGTATGATCATTTTATACAAAGATATATGGCCTTTCTTCAAATGACCTGGTCTGGATAACTTTCCCAAATGTGCCAGTTGGCAACTTTTCTTAAGTTACTCCTAAGTTAAGGCCAACTTTTCTAAAACTGAAAGGATTCCAAAACTAAATTGTCAGAGAAAAACAAGCCAGACTTCTTAGTCTTATTCTAAGTCAAGGGTGTCAAACTCAAGCCCGCAGGCTGAATCCGGCCTGCAGTGTGCTTAGATCTGGCCTGTGGGGCCGCCCTGGAAACAATGAAGGACCGGCCCGTGGTTCTTCTGCCAGTGAAAACAGAGCTTGGGGAGGCCATGTGCAGCCCACCAGGGCTCCATTTTTGGCTTCAATGACCGCCTGAAGCTCTCTGCCAGTAAAAATGGACCTGAGCTCCATCTTCACTAGCAGAGGGCTGCAGGAGGCCGTTGCAGTCGAAAACAGAGCCTCGACGAGTGATGTCGAATTGGCCACACACACCCAGCCACGCTCCCCAAGGTCAAACACAACCCTGATGCGGCTCTCAATCAAATTGAGTTTGAAACCCCTGTTCTAGGCTAAACAAACTGTGGAAACAGTTTCGACAGATTTAGCAAACTCCTTTTGGTAGGAGGAGCCAAAGAAGAGAGTGAAAATTCATTTCACAATATGCCAAATTTCTTCAGAATTTTTGCTTAGCATGTGCAAATATACTGTCTCTTTCACTGTTTCTTGTTTTTGCCTCATAGTATAAGGTAATTAACAAACCTAACACAGCTTCATGAAAGCTAGAAAACTGATAAGTAACAAGTTGGCATCACAATAATACAATGACAGTGATCGTTTTTATGATTTCAAAACACACACAAACACACATATGAAAAATCTTTATTACCTCTTCCATTATTGTATAGGAACATAATGAATCAATGTAACTGAACTATTTAAAAAAAAATATGTTATAGCTATTCAATAAACCTTAAATTTACCAATCTTCTCCAAACAGCAAAATACAACCAGTACTTTTAATCAAAACTTCAGTTGAAACAGTTAAAATAACCAAGAAAACATGACAACAGTGTTTTTCTAAAAATTACAAAAAGGGATTTGGGTCATAAATTGTATTTTCTAGAAATTCATGAGAGTGTCACCAAGAATATTCTTCCTCATTTTAAAATACTTTACTCAAAGAAAGTTGTACAGTTGTTGGTTGACACAATGACATATGTAAATTCATAGCCCAGAAGAGAATAAAAGGAAATGTGGTTTGCGGTTTATCTTAGTTTTTAACTTCCCAAAACAAACCATCTAAACTTTAGCTCTAATTCTTCTGCCGCATAGGTGAAACATCTCTGACTGCAGTGATTTCCTCATTAATAATAGAACGTTTTAACCTTTATTTTTACAGGATCTAAGGTGATGATGACCATTTTGGGGGACTCGGTGTAAAGGAACTGTCTTGCACAATGATTAGTGGGACTTGAAGGAGGAGAGCAGGAAAAGATTTGTGTGAGTCACAATGACCAGCTTAATACATTGTGTGATGGAAGAAATGGAGAAACAGAACAAATTAAGGAACAGGTTGAAAAAACAAACAAACTCCCAATACAGTGATGTCTTGACATACAGGTAGTCCTCAACTTACAACCACAATTGAGCCCAGGATTTATGTTGCTAAGTGAGAAATTTGTTAAGTGAGTTTTGTCCCATTTTATGACTTTATTTGCCACAGTTGTTAAGTGAATCACTTCAGTTGCTAAATTAGTAACACTGTTGTTAAATCTGGCTTCCCCATGGACTTTGCTTCTGAGGAAGTTGCAAAAGAGGATCACATAACTCCAGGACACTGCAACCGTCATAAATATGAACCAGTTGTCAAGCATCCGAATGTAAATCACGTGACCAAGGTGATGTTGCAATAGTAATAAGTGTGAAAAGTGGTAATGTCACTTTTTTCAGTGCTGTTTTAAGTTCGGTCACTAAATGAACGGTTGTTAAGTCAAGGACTACTTGTAAAATCCTGATACTTGACAGCATTTGGAATCCATACAGCTCTAGTTTATGGACTGGAAAAGAGAGATTTCAGAGTCGAAAAATATGCTGAAAAGAATAAGCAAAATATTTAGAGGACTAGACCATTTTCAGAGACAGGGGCATCCCCAGGCTGGTTAAAAAAAATGGCAGTTGCAATTGCATTTTTTTTTAACCTATTCCCTCTAGACTCTCCAACTGTGGGGATGGACTGGGGAAACAGCATTTGAAGGTTGCAACTTGAAGAGGAGGATGACAAGGGGCAGTGTGACAGAGATGCACAAAAACAAGCTTGACTTGGAAAATGTGGAGATAGGTTAGTATTCAAAATCATATTATTTGTTTCTTTGTTCAATTTTTATAGTCACTCCACTCAGCCAAGTGACAGTTCTAAAACTATTTTAAAAAAACAATTAAAAATAGTTAAATAAAAACCTCCAGAAAGAATTAATGACAATTCAGGATCAAAACAATGAAGTACATCATAAATGGTAATTAAAATGTAGGATTCAGTGCCCTCAAATTTCATGACCGCCATCAATTTCAACAGTTTTTTTTAATTAAATAGTAATAAGTAACATGATGTAGAAGCCATATCTGATTGCTGGAGATTACATCCAGCACCCAAGCAATAAATACAAGTTGCTAGAAATCCTACAAGTGCTTATTCAAAAGGCAACTGGACTTCCTTTGTTTTTTCTTGAAGACATTTCATTTCTCATACAAGAAGCTTCTTCAGTTCTTCTCGGAAGCTTCTCAGATTAAAAGTGAAATGTCTTCAAGGAAAAACAAAGGAAGTCCAGTTGCCTCTTGAAAAAGCACTTTTGGGACAACCATGACCTGGATGACTAAGAGTCTCCATAGACATTAAGCTCCTAGAAAGTCATAGAGAAAGAGACTTTCAGTTCTTGGAGTCATCCAGTTGGCCACAGACTGATATAGACAGTCAGCTTTGGTATCTCTTGCAAGAGGATTGTTGCATGGAATAAAGATGAGGGAAAACTTCTTATGGTTTCAGTTCTTTGGGTAAGGAGTGGGAGGGGTGGAGAAAGGTAAGATGTAATGAACTACAGGTAGTCCTCGACTTACAACAGTTCATTTAGTGACCGTTCGAAGTTGCAACATTGCCGGGGGGAAAGGACTTATGATCATTTTTCACAGTTACGACCATTGCAGCATCCCCATAGTCACATGATTTACATTCAGACTCTGACTCACATTTATGATGGTTGCAGTGCCCTGGGGCCACGTGGTCTCCTTTTGTGACCTTCCGACAAGCAAAGACAATGGGGAAGCCAGATTATTCACTTAACATCCGTTTACTAATGTAACAACTGCAGTGATTCACTTAACAAATGCGGCAAAAAACATCGTACAATGGGCCAAAACTCACTTAACAAATTTCTCACTTAGGAACATACATTTTGGGTTCAATTGTGATACTAAGTGGAAGATTACCTGTACTTAAAGAACAAAACAAAAACTGAATGAAAACATAAACAGGTACCTGATAGAATTCCCGAAGCCAGTTCTTCTGCAGGTTTTCTGGCTGGAAAATAAATAATTAAAGTGAGTACATAATTAAACTATGTGAGTATCAATAAATATTAAAACGAGTCATACATAGAGTGTCTATATTTGACTATAAAGACCAATGAAATAATCATTCATGTCAGTACACACAGGGACATACACAAATAGACACAGATAAAAATGTGAAGATTGTAAAAAGCAACCATGCATTAAACTTCAAAATCACAGAATTTGGAAGCAACTGTTTATTAACCTGGGTGGATTTGATTTAAATCACTAGTAAAAAGGCTTAAGTCAACTCGATTTAAATCATAATTTTTAAAGAGCAATTGTCATCTTTGTCCCGCAGCGGCACTTTTTTTAAAAAAAAGTACTAAAAAGAAATACTCAGCACTCTTCCAAGAATTTTAGAAATCAAATTTGAAATGAAATATTCATTCATTCATTCATTCATTCATTCATTCATTCATTCAATTTCTATGCCACCCATCTCCCCCATAAGATGACTCTGGGCAATTCTTCTTACGAGGCATCATTTCAAAACATTTTTTAAAAATCACAAATTATTAAGATACATGTTCATGTCTTTGAGAACAACCTTTGCACATTCTATGAAATCAGACTGGGAGCTTAAACTTGGAGAATATGAAATAAAGGCAAAATTAACAGCATATGTTCACAACAAAAGTTAATCAAATTTAAACTTTCCTGAATACTATATATAACACAGTGAGGCAAATGTAAATATTTAGAGAATGGTTGTTAAGAGGGAAAAGAACTGAGTAAACCACTGAAATCAGAAATACACAAAAATTTAAAATGTTTATAAATACAGTGCATCAGTCAGAGTCCAATAAGGGAAAGTTATACGCTTTTTTATTGTTTATTCATTACATTTATATGCCTCACCATCTCACTGTCAAGCAACTCTGGACAGCTTACAACATTATAAAAGCAGAATATAACACAATCCGAACATGAGCAACATTAAAAGCATTCAAGCATTAAAACTAAAACATTAAAAATGAACAACAACAAAAAGATAAAAGAGAATATATATGTAAACTGGATGGAGATGGGATCTTCTCCTAATCTACTAACCACCCCCAAAGTGGGATGCTCCATTGGAACCCCACTCAAATGAGTTGACAGGTTTTCAGACCATTTTAGAAGGCCAAGAAGGTGGAATAGATTTCACTTCAAGGGGCATAATGCTCCAAAGGGTGGTAGCCATGCCAGAAAATTCTCTTATCTCTCTCTCTCCCTCTCCCTCTCCCTCTCCCTCATCCAACATACTGGCAATTGCAACAGAGCCTTTTAAATGACATAGAGTTTGATAATTTCACTTTGTAATCATTTTCAGAAATTGCTTATTTAATTATCCTAAAGCTACTGGAGATCTTTGGAATAAAAAATTTGAAAAACCACCTGGTGAGTTTACTTTCTTGAACAAGAAAAAAACCCCACAATTTTAAGAATGGAAATAAACAGCAAAAGGCTAAATAAAATTTTAATCCAAGAGTTATAAATTTAATTAAAATCCAGACAAATTTAAAATATTGAAACTTTTATTATAAGATTTTAAAAATAATTAAATAAAATACACATCTTTCTGTGGGAACCAAATTGTTAACTCATAACAGACATTTTAGACTTTAGGATTTCAGAAATTGGACACTAGAGGGGACTAAAGATTATAGGTAGAAAAGAAAAAGAGAAAAAAGTGTAAAGTTTCCTTTGGTTTTCATTTAGTAGAGGAATTTACAAAACGACACTAAACATTGGAAATATTTCAGATTTCCAAAAAGAATGGGGTCAGAAATTAGCAGCTGTGATGTCAGCAATGATATCTGCTTTCATGAATAGTATGTCCAAAACATAGGACTGGCAAGAATAAATTTTACCTGATGCCAAAACAGCATAACAAGAAATACTTAATAATAATAATAATAATAATAATAATAATAATAATAATAATAATAATA